AGCTGCACAGCAAGCTGAAAATCCTCTCTCTCTGTCTTTCTAACAGTTCATCTGTTTCTCTCTCCAGTCCTTTTCCTTTTGTCACCAGGAATCATGTAAATGGAATGTCCTGCCTTGGCCACATCATGCCTCTAACTCTGTTTTAATCTTCTTCTTCTTTTTCTTGCGCTGTCTTCCTGCCACCCCTCTCACCCTGTACAGTCATATAAGGCACCAGCAGATTATGATAAGGAAACGTGCAGCCTACCAGAAGGCACATCATAAACAGCAGACCAAGCACAGCTCTTATCGTTCCTCACTGTGCACAGTTATGCATTCACACACACACACATTCATACTTACACACCCTGTAGTAATTGGTTAAAGGTTGTTAAAGATCTATGTTTTGCTGTTTATATCAGCGCTGACTCAACAAGACTAGCAGAATCACATTCTGAAGTCAGTACTTCTCAAGGGAGAAGTAATGCTGAACAGTTCTCAAGCAGGGAGGTTATTTCTTTATTTATCATGTGTCTGACTTTAATTTTTCTGCCTTCAGTAGTTAGCTTGCTTCATTCTGCCATAAACGTACCATAACTCACACTTTGTTTATGTGTGCACGTGCATAATTACGCATCATTAAACTTCACCTCAAGGTGCCTCTGAAATGCAGAACAGTAACGATAACAATATGTGCATGTAAGCTTTGTGTGTTCATGCAGAGTTGATACGACTTCAGGACTTGTGACTCAACTTGGACTCGGACTCAAGCTTTGACTACATTCAGACTTGGAAGGTGGAGACAAGCCCTCAAGTATATATATTTTTTTATAATAATTCAATTACATTTTATTTGTATAGCGCCAATTCACAACAAAAGTAGTCTCAGGACACTTTACAAGTAAGGTCTAGACCTTACTGTTATGATTATTATAGAGGAAAAACCCAATAAATCCCCTTTGAGCAGCACTTGGCGACAGCAGGGAGGAAAAACTCCCTTTATAATAATTTAGCATAAGATATTGATATTAAAACCTGTTCACCTGCGCCATGCTGTGTCTGGCACACATCCATTGAAGCGCACTCTCCACCTTTCTATAAATGATTTTTATGTATCAAATTGCTAAGCAATATGGTGATGCAATACACCGTTAGAAAGTTTGGAATATAAAATGGTGAGAGCTGTGTCAGCTGCGCTTAATGTGTGGATGACTCTGACTTGGGTAATGGGGACTCAACTTGGACTTGATTCAAACTCAGCTTGGACTCGACTCTGACATGACTCGGATTATTCTCTTCTGATTTGGACTTGACTCAGACTTGAACACTGGGGACTCGAAACTCGACTAGGACTCGAGGTTTAGTGACTCGATTACAACTCTGGAGTTGATGCGGTAATTTCGACACAAACCCTCCTCAGTACAAGTTTTTCTTAGTTTTCTCCCCTTTTCTCATTGAAGTGTTTCCCATGAAAAAAGTTTCCACACTGTTGAATGAGAGCCTTGCTCAAGGAAACGGTTGCTTAGACAGTTAAGATGCTGGTTCTTGTGACATGTTTTATTGTGTGGTTTAAAGGTAATCCAGACCCAGAGGGACAGGGGTTCTGCCAGGCTGGCTTCAGTGTGGATTTCACCAGGGTAAAGACTGCAGCAGCACTTCTGTATTATTGCCATGACACCCCCTTCACATATCCTGTTCCCTCACAAAGTGAAAGAGAGGTTTATTTAAACACAAGACTCCCTTCACAAATTTATGGACATGGGGAAGATGAGACCCTGTTTATCCCTAGAGGAACCTACACTCCCTGTGTGATCCATCACATCTGAATACAGTGGGCCAAATCCACACACTCTTTTTTTTTTTTTTTTACTGT